GAAGACCAAATCATCACTGCATCTCTATTAATGGAGAAGATGGCAGTGTGGGCAGTGTTGAGAAAGGGCCCCCATGTCTCTTGTTGTAGGATGAAAAATTAATAATGGAGGAGATGCCCATCATATATCAGTGCGTAGCTGGTGATTTTAGTTTATTGGAATTTCTTGTGGGGTGTTTTTATCTGATAGGTAGGAGCCCATCTCTCTTTTCTGTCTCCCAAGCTGACTGTGGAAGCACACAACACATTTTTCCTACTTTGGCTACAGACTACACATTTTCCCGGCAGATTACTCCATCTAAACGCTAATACTATTTATTTAGAGAGTGAGTACTATCTTATTTTGTTTAAGTACGTGCATTAGCTTGGTCCATTGAGTGCTGATATCCTCTTGTCTCATAGAAAAGCATCTGCCTTTAAATCTAGCTACCTTCTGAGGCATAACCTGCAAAGGTAATTAAGTGCTCCTAAAAGATAACCTGTGCACTGTGCTGTGCATATAAAGTCGCTGCATCAATAACTGCAAGCTGAAAGCCTGAAACCCCCATGACAGTGAGTATTAACTACATAATACTCAAGTGCTGTGACAGATTTTTTTTCGGACGGTAGTCAAAAGAGTCTTCTCGGTGAGAATACCACCGCTTCCATGCATGTCAGTCGCCGGGCACGTGTTAATTTTCTTTCCGTTTGTGGTTTTGACCGCATTGCAGAATGCAGATAGGGCGCGTTCTTTCAAACTAGATCCTCTAGCATGCACAAAGGATGTTAGAAAAAGCTACAATAGCCTAACTTTTCTTCTTTGATTCATACAATTAAGACTAAAATAAGTTAAATTAATTTTTAAATTACAGATATAGTATGAACACTCATAGTAATTACATACAAACAAGTTGATGGTGAGATAAAGTTAATTTTAGATTTTTTTTATCTATAGTAATTACCAAAAGTAAATAACCTGCTAATAGTCCGTAACATTCCTTCTTCATTTTACACTAGACGAGCACTGAAGCACGGTGACTTTCCTTCTCTAAGTTAGAGGATCCGGCTCCGCGTTCTTTGTGTGCATAAGGTCCAATCAGACACGCTGCATGCAGCATTTTTCGGACATGGGTTGTTTGGTTACATGCATCTACTGCTGAACCTATAGCACGCTTCTTAAAGCATTCTTGGGCCTGCATCATTGGAAATCGACAGCTTCTAGAAAGCCAGGCCTGAGCGACGCGAGGAACCGCACATGGGTGGCTCGTTGGAAACGTCTTAGCAGTTAATTACCTTATCCCCTCGTCTTCTTCCCCCTTCTATCATTGCCCACACCGCCGATCTCGCCCGCTCATGCGTCGGATCCGGCTGTCGGGCCTGCCTCGCCGCCGCTGCCGCAGCGCTCACCGCGTGCGAGCCTACCGAGGCACCTGTCGTCGCCACGCTCGAACTGCTCATGGGCCTCCTCGAGGACCCGTAGTGGGCAGCGGTCAGCACGCGTGCACGCAGCCAGTGGCGGAGCTTCATGGGGGCCAACCTGGACGGTGGCCCCCCCAGCTCAAGAAAAAAAACACCTACTACTCATTAGTTTTTCTGTCATATGTTCAGTAAAAACAGCCTAAATCTCATAGTTTTGCCCCTCCTTAGCCCATTGCCCCTCCAAAGATTTGGCCCAAGCTCCGCCACTGCACGCAGCCACGGCAGGGAGCCGGGCGCGGCGCGGCCGGCCAGCAGGGGCAAGAGCAGTAGCCTTGGCCGGCTCCTTGTTGGCACCAGGGGCATCTCTCTGATCTTTCATCCCTCGGGTGCAGGAACAAGCAGTAGGCCTTAGACGCCTCGGCCGCCAGGACCGTCATTTTCGTTATGTCGTCCTTGTGCGCGGCCTCGTTGACGGCAATGACGGCGACGACAACGACTGTAATCTTGTTGTTAAGTGTAGTTGTTAACTCTTAATTACTATGCATGTATGCAACCAAACGCCGGCTGAATATTGCATCTCGATTACAAGACCTGTCATGCAGGCGACCAAACAACACGCAAATGTTGCATTTTAGCATGTATTTTCCTAAAACAGGCCATGCTGAGCCTGTATTGGTTTTTCGATGCAACCACCCAAAAAACGATGCAGGTAACCAAACACCCCCATAGTACTTTCCTGGGAATCGTTTGATCCGAAGGAGGGGCGATTGTCTAGATGAAATAGAATTAAGTATACAATTTCGCTAATTATCATTCAGCTGAGACCTGAGAATCAACTATTTCTTTTATTATAATATAAAGAGTATGTCAATCAGCTTACTTTTCAAACCCCAAGATCGAACCCCTGACCGCGCCTCTCGCTCATGCCTCTCGCGAAATTGCGCCTCTTGCTTGCCATCACCATTGCCCCCGTAAATCAAGCCAATCCACCCTCACGGCATGCCTCCACGCCGGCGAGGGTCGCGGGCGCCGACCGCGACCACACCCCCTTCACCCCCGTGGATGCCCCCATCCATCTACAAAGCCTTCCCGAAGATGGTGAGAATGATTTCACCAGTCCTGCAGGGGGTGCTCATGGTGACCGGGGTTCGAGGGTGGGTGGAGTGGGCGACCAGGATCCGCGACGCCACCGTGGCGTGGATCCGGTGCGTGCAGGAGTGGAAGGCGGCGGACCAGGCGGTGGCGGCGGAGACCGCCCCGAGTGCGAGATCCGAGGCTGTGAGGTATGCAGAGATCTTCCAGAGGAGGGCGGATTTGGAGCAGAGGATTCTGGCGAGGAGGATCTACGACGAGGCTACGGTGGCGGAGGGCAAGGATGCCCGCGATCCCACACTCCCCACCGGCCGCGTTCGTGTTGTGGGTGAGGGTAGAGGTGAACTCGGAGGATCCCTGGAGGGCGAGGCGGTGGGAGTGCATCCTGGGGGTGATGTCATTGGGTGCACCGCTGCAGTTCTCGTCCCCGCTGCCGGCGACAAACTGATCTGGAAGGGTAACTCCATTGTCGACGCTTCTGAAGGCCAATTCAAAATTCAGATCATCTTGAAGGCGGCAGAGAGAAAGAGGATTCGTCTGTGTCCCTGCGGGTCCCCTGGCTGGGAGAGCGAGGTGAATGCCAACCACTTTGGCCAACTGTGGGAGGACTCGCTTTCCCCATCCCCCTCCCGCCCAACCACTCCCCGCATCTGCGAGGATAAGAGGCCAGGGAGGAGAAACCCTAACCAGAGGAGAGTGCTAGCCTGGATCTGGAGGGATCGATTTAGGGAGGGCCGCTTCCTGGCTGCTGATTGATGTGTTGCAAGTGAGAAGGATTGTGATTATCAGATCCCAGTTCGAGTTCAGTTGCTCCAAGTCGCCCTAGAAGGGGAAAATCAGACCAGATTTTGAGGAGATTTGGAAAATCAAAGTCATGGCGGAGAGCAACAGAGGTAGGGGCAGGGGGAGGGGTGCTTCTCGACCACCTTCCATGCAGGGCCAAGGCGGGGCGCCACCGGAGGGAGGGCAGCCACAGTTCCCCTACCCGCCATTGTTTGCTTATGGATTTCCAGGGGCTCCACCACCATGGATGTTTGCCGGTGCC